GGTTGTAAATCGGTAGTTTTAGGGGCGTGCAAGAAGGATGAGATGTCTATCCTAAGCCTCTTTCTGTGTCTTTTTATTTCTGACTGACGTCTTGAGAATCGCTTGCCAGCAAGAGAGGCGTGGTGGCTGACTTGAGTCGCACGGCGCACAGTAGGTATGTCTCGAATGATGGAGGGCTTGTTAGGTATGTATGGGAAGTTAGTAAGTAATAACCCAATATCGAACGGACGGGAATAGGATTCAATAGAAGAGAAAGGATCTAGGATGGTGCCGTCGCCTCTTCCCTTCGCCGCCACCTTCGCTCCAGCCGTGCGGTTCGATAGTCTGAGAAAAAGGCCCATGGTGATACCATTATTGATTTCTGGCGAATGAAAAATCGAAGGGGGGCTTCGGAGTGAGGACCGCAAAAGTGTGTCACAGGTGAGCAAGAGAGAGGTCAACATGAGCGGGACTGCGAATCAGGGAAGAGAAGGTAAGAAACGCACGCCAATGAGAATCAACAAAGCTGAGTAAAATCACTCAAAAACAGGCTTTGGCGATGGAGGACGGAAACATTTCCTCGGTTTGAGATTCTTGGGAGAGGGGGTGGAATGTGTGAAGAAGAAGGTTTAAAGACTGTGTAATAGCAGTAAAGTGACTTGGTTTTGGCCGAAGGCATGCGGAAAGAGCAAGTCACTCACTGTCTGTCTTTGTAAGTGTCCTCCAAGAAGAGGTCGTTGTGGATTGGTCCACATGAATGGACGTCCATTTAGGTGTTCCTTGACCGAACCTAAACTGACGAACACGGGGACGGAGACTCGGGAGTGTCATCCTATCCTGTAGATCTTCGCGTTCTTCTTGTGCTTCGCTCATGTTTCTATCCGCTGTTCTGTGATCATCCGCCGCGCGCCTTGGGGACTCATGACAGCAAGACGCAATGCAACGGGATACAAAATGGAGCAGCACGGGGAAACTAAAGCAGGCAGCTCGCAAGCTTGTCTGTATCTGCCTCCGGCGACGTCGATCATATAAAAACCAAACTACTTGGGGTTTGTAGTGCAGTAGTGGAACCTTTCCTCAACCCCCTACTTATAAAATAAGGGGAAATTTTTCAATAGGACAGCGAAATATTACAAGACAATTTGAATTACAGCCAAAGGATTAAGAAATTTAATAGTGCAGCAACGCTCGCGAACTAAACGACTACAAACCCATTTTTTAAAAAATTACGAAAATTCTAGGAAGTTAAGAAGGCTTCCAAATAATTATTTTCCAATTTGCATTAATTTTAGCTTAAGTGAAAAGGAATGATGGAGAAAAAAATTCGAAGCGTACCAAACTTTAAAATGCTAAAATACACTTCGTAAATGCACTTATTTAACTTTGGTAGCCAAATAATACCTTTTTTTTTTGCCGAACTCTCCTTAATAGAAATAAAAGCCCAAATTTTTGAATTCTACATTCTGATACAAAGAAAAGCGTATATAATTCTTAGTAAAATTTTAGAAAATTCTAATGTAGTTTGGATGCAATGTATCTCAGCTGGACTATTGGATTTCTTAGTGCTTTAGCTATAGTTGAAATTGCCCTATAATATTTTACTATCTTGTTGAAAAATTCCCCCCTCTTTTATAAAGAGAGGGTTGGGGAAAGGTCCCGCCAACCGAACCGCACTACAACCCCCAAGTAATCAAGAACTTTGCGTGGGAGCCAAAATTTGCAGTAGCAATGAGTAGCTAGTAGCAGAATAGGTAGGCTGTAGGCAACGCAAGCCAGGCAAGGCGAGGGTGCAGTAGTTCCGCGAAAGAAAAACCAAAGAGAAAAAGAAGAAGCGAACGCATTGCTGACTGCAATGGATCTCATAACATCGGATAACTTTTTCGACGTCGGTTCGAAACATGACAGGGCTTACTTGCAGCGACTGCCTAGGAACTGACGGAGCAAAAAGCGGCGAATACTTTGTGAACCAGCCAACGGTTGTTCGGGATGGATGATGAATGAGATATGGCTGCCCAGTGAGCCCATTTGATGCCCTACCAGCCGGCAGTGTTGATAAAATACGCAGTCATTCTCACTGGTCCAATTGATATGAGTGGTGGGGTTTCCTCTGCCCCTCCTTTTTGGGAGGACTGTCTTCGATGTGACTCTCTCTCCAACCGTCAAACCGTCCACAAGGCGTGTAGGCACTTGGCAGTTGAATCGAGCCGGAGACGGAATCCGGGGTCTGACTAGAGAACTAGTTGCTCATGTGTTGCCTACTAGCTAGCTACCACAGTACACGATAACCAGTAGGTACATTCATAGGAAGCTGAATACTATTTGGCGGGCGGGCTGCTGCGCGCACGACATGTCCTCTCACACGTGTGGAAGGCATGAGGAGATGCAGCTATCATCTGTACTCCTTGCATGAGATAGCACAAAATCAGAAACAATACTGTGTGGTTGGAAAGGACTCTGCAAGTGATGATGCTTCCATTTGGGAAGGGATCGTGGTACATGACACTTTCATGTCTAGCTAGCTTCACAAAGTTTACTATGTAGGTTGGTGTAGCTTTAGCCCCGCCGAGATTCGAGTGGCCCTCTGGATCCGTCTCCATCCTTCACCGGGAGTGTCAAGTGTTACTCGATATATCGACTGAATGCGCTGTGTATCCCAAGATTGCTGTCTATCGGGTTTCCCGCCGTGAAACGTGTGGTGGAATGGGATAGTGAAAGATTGTGATGTGGCTACCGGTCAAGGCGGATGCATATGGATAATGGGAAAAAGACAGAGCTTTGGGCCGATATAGAGATTGCAGGTGGGTGATATCGATCACAGAAAAGGCACATCAAAGTGACCATAACCCGCAACCGACAGCACCCAACTCCCACCCTTCATCGTTCGATGGTAAGCTATCCGGAACCCAGGGAAAGGGACTCGCGTGTTGCTTGGCTTGGAAGAAAGGAAGCAGCTGTATGCAGCACTCGTTCCTATAGGAAGGGGACCACTGCTCCTCAACCCAAATGGAACGGAGCGGAAGGGGGTGACTACCCCGAAACATGTCGTCGGCACGAGGGAAATTCGAGATCGGTAGAATCAGGAACGCTTGCGACAATACAGTGACAACGTATCGATCGTCCGCAACGGTGGTTGGCTTGGATCTCGGTTACGGCTTCTCGAGGTGGGAGCGTGTACATCGTGGTGGACTGATACTAACAGCTGGACAAGAAACGACGGATGAGGGGATGATTAGCAGCGACCGACGTTTGATCGAGATGAGAGATATGCCAGCCAACAAGGGCCACAAAAGAAGAAGCCGTACCTGACGAGCCGAGGTGCCCTGGTATACCGTGTTTGATGCCGTTGTTGCCAGAGAATAATACATACGTAATCTTCCAACTTTCTTTGCAAATCGCACTGGCTTGCCGTTCTTTTGTTGTTTTTCTTCCCCTCCTTTTTTGGACGACTTGTTGCATACCTGTTGTCTCTTTCCCCCCCTCTCTCCAGCTAGCACCGTAGCATTGTTCAAGTTGATCAGTTCTCAGCCTCTGTTTAAAGCCCTGTTCGCCTTGGTCAGATACACGAGAGTGACGGATCTAAAACTTGAGTAAAATAAGAGACAGGCGGGTTCTGGGCAAGCTGGAGAAGGCCGTATCGGTGTTAGGCGAAGAGGGCCTGGACGCCTCGATCGACTAACAAGACCGAACAGGACTGGAGCGAGACCACCGGCGTTTCCTGAATTGGGTAGTCTAGGCCTTCTTTTCGGGTCCCTAGTGCTCCCCAGTGTTTCCCCGGTGTGCAGCCAATGCCCAGTAAAGTTGTGAGCTCGAAAAAGAGTCAAGTGAGAAGATGCAACCACCTTGCATGTCGCAGGCTGGAAGTCTGTAAAGTGTCAAGTCTTGAGTGGCTGTCGACGCTGAGTGTACCCCACCTGATGTTTCGTTTTGGCGGTGTTTGGGTCACCGGAGGAGCCAGAGGTACCCTACTGCGACGGCGGTACAGAAGGACCAGCGAGTAGGGCATTGCGAAAAAAACGTCGCTGAAGTGCCGTGGAGAGCGTTGGACTTGGCATGTCCGAGACTCCGCTCTCGCCAGTGAAGCTCTGAATGGCCCGGCGGCCACCGGTCAGCACAGTCGACGAGAAACCGCAACACTTTGGTGTTCCATCCAGTGCCCAAGTTTCCCGGATCTTGGGGGTGCCAGCAATGATCAATGGCAACATGGGGGACCGGGGACCAGGGGTGGAGGGGAAAGGAGGGAGAGGTGGGAGGCCGGGGCATTGGCAAGATGGGGACGATGGGGACGGGGGGACGAGACCAAGACCTGCGGCAGCTACGTAGTGTACTTGGTAGGTACCATGATCCATGGGTCCTCCATTCAGGTGCTGTGCCATCCCATGTCTGCAGACGTGTACGGCGGTCGAGTCCAGAAGAGAAGAAGCACCTCACCAACTCGGTTTATTATCCAGACAAATTGTTTGGTCGTGACATGCACATTGACATGCCTCATGTAACAGGAGATACATCCGAATCGCCCGTTGGTCCGGCCTGGTTGCTTGTTGGACGGCCTGGCCAACTTGTACCGGCCTGATCTAGGCAGGATTACAGGCACAGTCACACAACACTGGGTTTGTTTGGGTGTGTCAAAGGGCTGGTTTTAGGGTGGTCTTCCACTCTCGGCCCCGGAGGCAACAACGGGTAACGGGCGGGTATGCTTAGCCTCCCCTCTCCCCCCTGGCCGACTCAACCATCGACTGACAAGTGGCAACCGAAAGTGCCGCTGTGAATGATACTGTAAGACACCTCCCCGTAGCTAAGCGGAATCGCACATTTCAGCCCAAGAAGGCTGCTTTTCTTCTTATACTCGGGTCCGCCTCGACTTGAAGCCCACCCATTTTGCTTTCTTTCTTCTTCGTCTCCTTATAAACAACGACCGAATTCGATGTGAAAGCCCAGCCCTTTTTGGTGTTCAACACTACAACACCTTGCACTCAACAACAATAACAACAACCTATCAACAACATACCAGACCAACGTTAGACATGGCGTCATCAACTACCGACTCGCGCCGCATGCCGCGCAGAGATTCTTCGACGGCCCGTGGCACCCGGAGCCCCAGCCAGAGGCCAAGACTTCTTCGAGCATCAGCCACCGAGCCCGCCATCACCACCTCCAATGCCAGCCGAGATGCGCTCGCCAACTCGTACTCGTCTCGCAGAGCAACGGAGCTCCTAAGGGTGGCTTACATCTCTGGCGGCTCATCGCCGGACGCCCTCACCAGAGCCACCTCCAGAGCTACTTCTCCCATCTCGACACGGCCACCACCTCCGCCGATGTACGATAGCTTGGGTCGCCACAGTGAGCTATCCTCGTCTCCTATCAGCAACCCAGATGGCTTTGATGAGCTGCGTGATTCCTGTGAGTTGCTTGCTTCTATCACCACTGTTTTCCGGAATTGAAGCTAACCCATCGATAGACTCGCATTCGCACTCGCAGCGGTACTTTAGCTTCCCCAGCTTTGACTTGTATGAGCCGCCCCACCAAGAGGAGGACAAGGAGGCGCACATGAAGTCTCCTTGAAAGGTGTGCTGGGACTGGGGAGGAAATCTGTTTTCGACTTTTTAAGTTTGCGCGACTCGACAAGCAAGCCCGGACTTCCACTTTCGTCATCGGGCCGCTCACCAAGACGACATCAACCCAAAAGAAGCCTCTATCACTCGGGGAACAGTTGCGCCGCCGTGCAAAAGCAATCAGCAGGCGCGATATTCCCAAGGAACAGGACCCTGGTGTCATTGGAACATGGCACACAAGCAGTCCACAATGAATGGGCGCAGGGAAATGGGCGAGGGACAGACGGATTATCCCAGCGTTTTTGATTCCTTCAATCTTATGAATCCCAATTTTGAGGTATTCGAGGTGGGAAACGAACGGATGGCAACGCGAGGCGCGCCGCTTCAGCACATTTCGTAGCTGGCGGGTGCTGCGTGCCCACTGGGTGGTTTCGGCGGAGTCTGTGAGAGCAGGAGATATTCCACGGGGACAAGGGATGAGGAATGGGGATGGAAGAGGCTGGTGATGCTATTTACCCGACCGAGCTGTGGGCCAACTGAGCTCCCTTGGTCATGAGGACATCGCGGCCAGCAATTATGGCGCCAAGACACGCCTAGGACTTTGTAACGCAGCCAACTGTTGAAGATGCGAGAGTGCCCCGAGGGGTGCCGTGTCCGGTTGGCGACGACAAGACTGTCTTGTGTACAACAAACACAACAACATAGGATACCCGATAGGACTGAAGAATGGAAGTGCAAACTGCAAACTGCAAACAATCCTGGTGCTTTCTGAAACCTTCGTACATGTCGTGAGATGAGATGGCGGTGAATCCAGCAGCAGCAGCAGCAACGTAAGAGACATGGGGGCTGGTTGCTCGTCTCATCTGCTGGTTGAATGTTCGTGTTGTCAGGTAACCACGAGTAGTTGGTAGACATTTGGGACATGGATGAGCTTCGGTGAGTCTGGTGTGAAATAGCGTGATGTTGTTGAGCGGTGATGGCTTCGTATCCGATCGCCAAGGTTCAGTTGCCGGGGAATGCTTCATACAGAAAACAACAGCCAAGTGGCCACGGTAAACAGGTGACGGGGCCATAAACCGTGCGACTTTGGGAATAACACAGCCACATCTTGCTAAAAATGGGCGCACTGATGGTTCTGTTGAAATGTGATTTGGGTTTCGGTGATGCTGACGGCGAATGGTGATGATTTGGTGATGGTGTTTTGGTGACAAAGGCGGGAATGAACCAGTGGTTGAGAACTCACTAAGATCTCAAAAGTGGATGGAATGAAAGAAGGCCCAGTGATTGATGCCTGCACTCTGAAGTGATGGAAGCAAAGTCCCCAGAGTCCAAAGTTCAAGGGACCCAGCTGTGGACAAGAGTGGAGGCAGCAGCTTGGCACCGATAAGCGTTATCAGCTGGCGGCCCCCTGCTCGGCATTGAGCCCTAAGGTCCGAGGGGCCAATCAGGCTTAGGTCTTGGCAAGCCCCACCACCACAGTTTTTCCGGCCTACGCCCACACAACGGGACAGACACAATTTCACCCTTCGAGGAGAGAAAACCAAACTCCGCGTCCCAGATTGCACGGTCTCCATCACCACCCCAAGCAGCACATTTTGTCCCTAGGCACAGGTGCTCGTCAAGATGGCTGTTGGCAAGTACGTTGTCACCCCGAAATATTGCCAAAATCGATGCCATGACGATGCGGACGATGGATTGGAAATAATGAGCGGTCCGCGCAGCCGTCGTGCGGTCGCGAGGCGATGACGAGCTCCCGGTCGCGAATTACAGACAAACAACATCGCCCGATCCGAATCGCGAAATCACAACCCACAAGCAGCGCAGCGGCTAATCACTGGTGTTGGCGTGCAGGAACAAGAGATTGTCCAAGGGCAAGAAGGGTCTTAAGAAGAAGACCCAGGACCCCTTCGCCCGCAAGGACTGGTACGGCATCAAGGTGAGTTTTCGACAAGAATTCGCGATTCTCCAAGAGTGACAACAAACTAACTGGTTCCCCGTCTCTAGGCCCCTGCGCCTTTCAACGTCAGAGAGTAAGCCATCCGCCCGCCCTACATACATACCGATATCTTTTTTCCAGATCCGCACACGCAACTCGACCAGATATCAACACACCAAAATGCGAGAACGATATTCTAACTAGCTTGTTCAGTGTCGGCAAGACCCTGGTCAACCGCACCACCGGTCTCAAGAACGCCAACGATGCTCTGAAGGGCCGCATCTTCGAGGTCTCTCTCGCCGACCTCCAGAAGGATGAGGACCACTCCTTCCGCAAGGTCAAGCTCCGTGTCGATGAGATCCAGGGCAAGAACTGCCTGACCAACTTCCACGGTCTCGACTTCACCTCCGACAAGCTCCGCTCGCTCGTCCGCAAGTGGCAGACTCTCATTGAGGCCAACATCACCGTCAAGACCACCGACGACTATCTCCTCCGCCTCTTCGCCATTGCCTTCACCAAGCGCCGCCCCAACCAGATCAAGAAGACCACCTATGCTGCCTCTTCTCAGATCCGCGCCATCCGCCGCAAGATGACCGAGATCATCCAGCGCGAGGCTTCCAGCTGCACCCTCACCCAGCTCACCTCCAAGCTCATCCCCGAGGTCATCGGCCGCGAGATTGAGAAGGCTACCCAGGGCATCTACCCCCTCCAGAACGTACGTTTGGCCACCAGCTCGAGGAAACGACGCAGCAGCAGATTTGCTAACTCTTTGCGCTACAGGTCCACATCCGCAAGGTCAAGCTGCTCAAGCAGCCCAAGTTCGACCTCGGCTCTCTCATGGCTCTCCACGGCGAGTCTGGCTCCGACGAGGCTGGCCAGAAGGTCGAGCGTGAGTTCAAGGAGACCGTTCTCGAGTCCGTATAAAGGGTTGTCGGTACTGGGGAATGAACGCACTGGGCATGGGTTTCACTCGGGCAATACCTCTCTAGGGCTTTGGTCTTGCTTCTTCGTTGCATTGGCATGGTATCATGGTATTAGTCAAGGTAACGAATACCCTCCCGACAATGAGAAAACGGGAATCAAAAAACGATCACAAATGACCAAAAGTCGAGCGGTGGTTGAAAATGTCGTTTTTTAGAGACGGGGTGACACTCAGCTCAGCGAATTCTACGTGGTTTGGGAGACCTTGCCTGGATATGCGGAAGCACTGTGTAACCGTCGTTGACTTGGGTTTGTGGGGCGTTTAGGGATCTGAATTTCAGCTACGAGGAATCGTCATGAGAAGCAGCCGGAGTCCCATATACCCATGATTTCCGATGGTTGGCCATGAGAAGAGAGGGATGCACAAGCCGTGGTTGACGGGTGTCCGAGCAAGTAGTCCATCCAGCAGCAACAACACCATGTAGGGCGGGTGGACGGCGGTTCAAGTCAGCCACGCGCGTCCCTTGGTGCTTTGTAGTAGCAGTGCGTTCAAAGCCAATCCCAATATTCTCAATATCCATGGTGCAACTTTGTGAGTGACTGTAGGATCGTCGTCACTGAAGTCCAACCCCAACCCTCTTGGAAGTCCCGTGGTGTAGGGTTGTGCGTGAGTTTGGGCCGTCAAGGTAGCCAACCCTCCTGCCCTCGCGATTTTTGGCAAGTCCAGCTCTTACATAAGGAAACGTCATATGAGGGTGCAGGTGCACTCAAAGCGGCAGGTTGTCGCCAGCCCAGTTACCTACGGGGCGATTACGCACCTCTGCGCACCTCCAGTTTCTGGGGAACTAGCAACCCAAGATTTGCAAACGCAAACCTAACAACAAACCTCAAGCTCGTCGACGACTCCAGGGAATCTGATCGGGAACTAAGACGTACCGGAACAGTGTAACATTGCAGGGTTGGAAAGCATCACGACTTTGTTTCGCTTTTTTGTTCGCACCTGAATGACGGGACTTACACGTGCAATTATACCGGACCTCCCTGGGCTTGCGCCAGTTCGCCTTCGATAACCCAGCAACGACCCCTCCGAACCTGTCAACTGTCAACCTCCAACCTCTACATACAAGCTCCCCGCAATTGCTACCGACCTGCCCTAACGACCTAACAACACCGCCTCACTCCATCACCTCGAAACGACCATACCTCATTTCAACACCTGCAATCAGGTCAATCTAGACCGGAGCAAGGATAGAAAACCGACGACCAGCTCCCCTTGAGCCTCCCTCGTTCGATCCACTTGGCCCCGTGGGCTCCCCGCCCAGCCAGATGGCTTCGGATGACGCCCTACCTACGCTCAAGATCCTATTGATCGGGCCATCAGGAGCTGGAAAGTCAGCGTGTAAGTTATCATCTCTGATTCTCAAACCTTTACGTTTTCCCCATTCTCTCCATGGTAATCTGCGCCTGGGGGGTCCAATCTCACTTGAGGACATGGTAATGAGATCAAACAGCTCCATATCCGATGGAAGAGGTGCAAAGGACACGGCTACCATGCTCTCAAGGCATCCGGGGCTTGCTGAACATGCTTAATGCATACCCAAATATGAACGTTTGCACATGGTCTCTGACATTTTCCCCAGTACTCATGCGATATTGTGATGATGAATTCGATCCCGATACGGCGGCTGCAACTATTGGTATCGACTTCAAGGTGAGACATGCTTCTTTTATTTCCTCCTGAACACTCATGTTCCTCTTGATTTGTTCCTTATTCGCAAGTCTCAAGAGCCAGACTGAAGCATTTCCACCCACTGAGCTACCTTCAACAATTCATCATCAGGAAACCTACCGCGCAACAGTAAACTAACACCGTCATACCTCTAGATCAAGAGACTTGCGGTCCGTGGCAAGCCATATCGGCTGACGCTATTTGATACGGTGAGCAACGACCCTCATTTCTTGATGTTGACATACCCATCCCTAAGGCATCCATGCTATACGCTGTCTGTGAGCTTGCTACTGACAAATGAGTCATTGTTGCTCTCTTGATGACAGGCAGGACAAGAAAGATTTCGAACCCTTTCAACCAGCTTCTATCGCGGTGCCCATGGCGTTATTCTTGTCTACGACATTTCCAACAGAGCAAGTTTCATGTCTATGGAACGATGGTTTGACGAAGCCAAATCAAACACCGTAGAGGATGTGGCTCTGTACTTGGTAAGATTTTTTCCCCGGACATCATGAATGTCAAGAGTGACATATGCCCTCATCGGAGTGAAGGGGGTCACGGGTCATTACTAACACAGCAACGCCCAGGTCGGAGCAAAACTTGACAAAGCATCTCGCAACCGGGAAGTCACACAAGAAGAAGGGCTAGCACTAGCAGAACAGCACGGTGCCAGTTTCTGCGAAGCAAGCTCCAAAACGAGCGAGAACGTCCGCCGCCCATTTGTGGAGATCGTCAACCAGATCGTGCAGACGCCAGGTCTGCTCACCAACGCCACGGCAAAACGGCGTTCCGGGACGGTTGTGGTTGACAGCACCACCAACAACGGCTATTTCTCCCTTCCGAACTGCGCGTGCTAATTGGGAACGCACTTTTACGTCCTCCACGCCATCTCACATAATCCGGCTCTTTAGCAGCCGGAGTTGGTTACTCTGATTGAACACACAAGACACACAAGAAACGAGTTCTGATACCCCCTTCAGCCTGTTCATGATTGGCTACGAAACGCATGTTTTGAAGATTTTCCTTATTTCTGCAAGCTTAGGAAAAATGCTAGCTGCTTATCCTGTCTATCGTCTATCGTCTATGTCTAAATCGCATGTTCCTTCCCCGTCATCTCTCTTCGGCATTTTTGGAAGCATTATCTTGTGCTCATAGATTTCGTTGGTAGACCGGTATTCGTGGGCCAGAGCGCTCAGACGAGAAGACGCTTTATGTTCGATCACCGGTCGAGAGCTGAGGGATGTTCGGTATTTGTTGTCTGTTTCGTGTCTTTGTCGTCTCCGCCGTGGTAATGTCATATATGACGGGAATCCCATAGCCTCCAACGAATATCTGTAATACAACAACAAACATCCTTACCACCTCCATATCATAACGGGAGTTTCAGTTGTCTTTTACTCCTTTGGCTCAAGGAACCTGAGAACAGCTATCCACAGCAAAATGGCATAGTTAGCATCACCAACGTCACCCAAAATCTACAGAAGCCCCAGAAAGGAGAGAGGAAGAAGAGGACTCACCCTGTCTAAAAGCCTCTGGATTCTCCGAAATCACCCAATGCCCACTATCAATATCCACCAGCTCAAACAGCGGGAAAAACTGTCCAATAAGCGGCACCACCTCATCAGGCACGTATCGGCTCTTGGTGCCCCTGACAAACAGCGCCGGCTTGGAGAACCTCACGCGATGGGGGTCCTTGAAGGGGAAATCCCCCAAGTGATCCAGACTCTTGCCAATGATCCCCAGCGGGTTCCTGAACTGCAGCGTAGGACTGGGCTTTCCACCGGGGTCGACCCTCGGCCTATGCAGGTTTCCGAGCAAAAACTGGCGCACGACGAGGTTCTTCTCGTAGGGTTCGAGAATCTTGTCCGCAGCTGAGAGCGAAGATACCTTGGCTTCCTCGATCTTTTTCAGGCCCTGGATGTACCGCGCAAACGAGGACTCGAGCCGCGCGTCGACGGGCGCGTTGTCGACCGAGATGATGTTCTGCACCAGGTCCGGGTGCGTGAGGGCGACGGTCATGGCGGCCTTGGCGCCCATGGAGTGCCCGATTAAGGTCGAGTCTTTGAGCCCATGCGCCCGGATGAAGGCGGCGACGTCCTCAGACATGGCGGTGTAATCGTGTCGAGGGGAATGAGGGGATTCGCCGTGGTTGCGGAGGTCCTGGTATGAAAGTTAGAGTCTTGTATATTTTCTTGTATGAAGGGTGTGAAAACATGAGGAGCTTTTTGCAGGGCTTCACTTACGATAGCGAAGATGTGACGACCTAGGTCACGGGCGAGTTGTCTACGCAGAGGAACATGAAGTTAGTTACTGGAATCCCCTTTTTAAATTTTTAAAATTTTTTCCAAGTTTGCTTAGGTATCATTCCTGTCATCGAAGACCAAATCTGACGAAGCGAATTTCACTTTTCAAAAAGAAAAAAATAGCACAAGCGCTTTTAAACGTTTTATAAGGGCTAGGCTACTCACTTACTCATACTCCTGTTATTCTTCTTGGACCCAAATAGTCCATGAATGAAAATGATCGGCTCCGTCTCCTTGTTCGGCACCCTAGGGTTCTCCGGCGAGTGAAGATCGTAGACGAGAGGGATTGTGGAAACCACCGGGGGCACGGTGTTGGTTGTTGTTGACGAGGGGGTGGCGGCGGAAGAAGAAGCAGAGGAGGAGGATGAGGAGGAGGAGTAGAGTCTTCGGGCCATCATGATGGCGCCGGCGCCAGCGGCGGTTGAGATGGCGGTTGAGCAGCATCCTCCTCCGAGTGATGCCCCGGCCTGGGCGGCCGTGCGGGCGGAGGCTATTCTCATCATTGCTTTTTCGGTGTTTTGAGGCTTGACTCAAGATTTCGGATGTAATAAGAGTCGACAAAGCGAGTACGTGAGATGGTCTTTTGAAAATAAGATTTATCGGTAAATATGTAAGGCTGAAAGAGAGATAGTACGCCGGAAGAGATGGGATGAAGAAAGATCACCGACTACCGCCCTAGCACGGATCGGTTCATGCACAATTCACGCCTTCTGGAAGCAAGTCGTTGCCCGTCACAGTCATTGATACAAGGAGAGAGATCCACTGAGCTGTTTGAGCGATAAGAGCGATTAGCGCACAGACCGTTTACGTCATTTACAGAACTGTGACCGATTTCCATACGCCAAGCACCGAATTCACTCCCGTCCGTCTCGGAGGTCTAGACCCGGCGAACTCGGGAGGGAGTACCCCAGCGTGTTCGGGTAGGCCGGTAAGGTAAAGTATATATGGATACAGATTCCAGTTTTAAACATGTCTCCTGTCTTGAACACGTCATTACACAACCCAAACGCTCTCAGGCGGTCCCATCAAGCTACTCTTCAACCCGCCTACATCCACCACCAACTTGGTCACCACCATCGTCGGCTCCAATAGCCAGAGCCTCAACTCGTGTCTTCCCTTCGCTAACTTTCCCAGACTCTGCTTGGACACATACGCATTCTGAATCACCGCCTCCGCCCATCCAGCCGGTTGCTTGCTCCCATCGCCCATGGGAACCGGCTGCACCGTGGCCAGGCTCGCCCCATCGACACTAAAGCTGTACTTATTCGGACTGTTCGGGTTCGCATTTTCGGAAGGCGAGAGGTACACGGTTAAAGTGGCTGTTGAAGCAGCTGTGAATGTGTAGAAGGGGTAGACTAGCACGTGCCCCTTGCCGCCGGCAGGTTGTGAGGGCGTCTTGGGGGGTAACTTCACTCCTGAGAGGGTGCGTCCGTAGTTGGGCACGATGATGTACTCGGCTGAGGAGGCTGGTGGTGAAGAGAAGTGTTCAGCTTCGATGGAGACTGCGCCGGCGTATTCGACGTGACCTCTGAAATCCGAGGGGATGGCTTCGTTGTCGAGAGGAACGGTGACGGTTGCGACGGTGGAGGGAGAGTCGACGTTGCTGATGGTGAGAGTGGCCGCGCTGGAACCAGACGGTGCGGAGGCCCAGTCTACTGTAATTAAGGAGCGGGCATCTGATGAACCACCGGGAGCGGTAAGTTTGCCTTGCGGGTTTGTGATGTTGATGTAGGATGCGCTTGATGTGATCTTGTAGCTGAAGGTCCCGTTATCGCGGGTGTATATCTCTACCCATCGGTCAACGCCCTTTGGTATAAAGGGGCTAAGCGGAAGAAGGGAGAGCTTTGAGGTGGTAGGGAAGGGGGCTGTGTTTCCTTGAGCAGTTACTCCCATGAGGGCATTTTTGGCGGCTGAGGTGGTGTAACTCAGCTTGGGAAGCGTCTGAGAACCGGGTTCTTGCCAGTTGTTGTATCCGATGTGGTTCTGGCTAAGGATCTTGTCCCATTTTCCGTTCAGGAGAGTGTGGTAGCGCTTGGTTATGGATGAGTCTGCGGAAAAGGCCGTTTGAACTTCTTTGGCGAGCTGGTTGGCACTAGTTCGATGCTCATTTGCGTATTTGCTTCCCATGGCGACTTTGGTGTATATCTCAAAGACTGTCTTACCCGCTAACACAGGATGAAGAACCATCTCGAAGAAAGCGACCTGGACGTCACTCGGCAGACTGTCATGTACAGCTTGAGCCTCCGCGAGCAAGTCGACCCATTCCTGATAGTTCAACTCTGCCTCGTCATAGTTGACAGTGTTGAAGTAGAACGGAGTCCTGCTCAGATCTTCATACTTCATTCGAGCCGTAAGCTTGCCATACGTGCTCATAATGTTAGAAGTTGCTTCGGCCACGGCTCCTCCAAACTGTCGTGAGCTCCAATCGGTGAGCCATGCTTGAATACTGTCAGCCGCCTGGAAGCTCTCCCTGTCCCAGGCCAAGGCCATAAAGTGGGCAGTAGGAAGTTCCTACGAAAATAGTCAGCAGGCACAGTAGGACTCTCGTATAGGTTTCTACATACCAAGGCCTTGAGATCTCCCACGTTGGCGATCCAGATATTCTCTATTCCACGGTCATAAGCAAGAGTCATCTGCTCCCAGGTCTTTTGCAGCTGAATGGTGTTGATCCACTTGTAGTTACGAGGATCTCCGACATAGTCGAAATGATAGTACATCCCAGAACCGCCGCTCCTGTTTGGTTCGTTGCCGATGGGAATTCTGCGAATGTTGCCCCTATTGTCATCACTCCACAGAAGCGTAACATCATCGGAGACCTTCATGCCTTTCTGCCAGTAGCCTGGTACTTCCTGAATGTTTTGTTAGTCTTCATGTTCGAAATCAAAGACCTTTGGCAACGCACCTTGTACATGACCCATGCCTGTGGGATTTGTGGCAGCGGCTTCCCAAGGGCTTTTGTCAGAGCGGATTGTTGCCAGGCAATGACCTCCTCCAGGGCGGCAGCAGTCAGAGTGGCAGAAGCTGCATCACCCGAGCCTCTCATTCCTAGCGTATATATCGTGCTCCAGTTCTTGGACCTGTTGGCTCCTTCTTGCATAAATGACTGCACGCCTCCTTTGTTGCTCTTCCAGTCCCAAGAGCCCTTCAAAAACCTGCTTTGCTCTTTATCTGCTCGGGCCTGCATTCACTTGTAAGCGAAGTTTCAATCCTTCCATTTGTTCACTTGTCACTACGTACCATGGGCTCATGATGGCTTGTCCCCATGAATATCCCATACTCGGTTGCCGTCGGTCCATTCTTGGCGTCATCAAGGTAGAACATGCTAGACCACATAGCAGGCCAGACGTAGTTCCCCTTCATACGGAGAACCAGCTCAAAAATCCGCTTGTAGAAGTCAGTAACGAAAGGACTGCCATACTGGCTGTCTTTGAACTTGGCATGTCCCCAACTCGTAAGACCTGGGGATTCATCGTTGAGGAAGACCCCACGATACTTGACCGAAGGCGGGCCTTCTGTGTAAGTGAGATCGCTCGCCCAGATATACTGCCTCTTCGTTGGAGGGACGTCAGCCCACCAGTACCATGGTGAGACACCAATCTTCTCAGCGACATCGTACGCCCCGAACACGGAACCGCGGAGGTCAGAACCGACAATGGCGAAGGCAGTTTCTTGTCCATCCCAAGGGTTTTGAATGACTTGGTATGAGAACGACTCCCATTTGGATACAAGAGTTGTCGTATCAAGTTTCTTGGAGGCGACTAGACCATCGATAAGGGTGGATCGACCGACTGTGCCAATGATTATGACGGGTTTGGAAGGTTTTGAGGAGGCGGTTGATTTCCAGTCAGCCTTAATGACCGTTGCATTGGTACCGAGAACCTTTCCAAAGTCGACGGCGAGGTCATTGGCAACTCGAATGACACCGGGCAAGTCATCAGGCGCAACTCTGATTTCCGGGGCTAGGTCTGGACCACCAAGTTGTAACCCATTCGGTGTTGAAGAGAAGGTGAAGGGTGAGGGTTTCTTCTGGTAGGCTTCTGCTGAGATTGCGAAGCATAGTGAAGCCAGAGCAAAAGTGAAAAGACGTATAAGAGTCATCATAAACAACTTGCCATGAGCGCTATCGAGAACTGGGTGATCCAATAGTCACCTTTGGAGATATGGTCTTGATATAACGTCGCCATTTTGACCTTTTGAGCCACCCCATAAGAACTTCACGGTATCGGTTCGGAGGTTATGGTAAAGAGAGCGGATAAAGTGAGTGTCACAGTGGGATCGAGGGAGGTTCTTCTAGGAGGCGAACCAAAGAGCTACCGCTTGGCAGCCACGATAGAAAGGAACCTGAATACCGAGTAGATTAACATCATATCTCCTAGGTGATCCTATGGACGGAATATCTTTTGTGGAAGCTCGCACCCCTGCGCTGTCTGGCTGTGTTTGGAAGCTTGGGCCACTCCGCGCGGCTCACCCCGAACCCCACAAGATCCCAAAATATGTCCACAGTTAGGGAGCCCCGCAATTGAGCCTCTTTGAGTCTTGGACAGCGAAGCACAGCGCAACGCGGAGGCCAGAGAGCATCGTGACAGGGGGTGCTTTCAACAACTCGAACCTAGAACTCCAAGCTGCGGAGCCCAACAATCATCGCGACACCATCCTCGGTTGACACTGTGAACGTCACCCACCCCCTTCGACTAGGTTTCCCTCTGACCAAGAACCGGCCGGGTACATACTACTACTACTAATACCTAGCGGCGGATAATGTCAACATAATACAACACAGACAGTCAGCATCAACATACCTCAGCATCCTCGCTTGATCCCTCCTCCCCAGGAGCGGCCACCACCACTATCACCATGTCAGACTCCGCCATCGCCGCCCTCAACTCCCTCCTTCGCGGGACGAGCATCGACGACCATGAGGAAGCTCTGAAGCTCGCCAATTCCGCCATCAAAGCCGCCAAGGGCAACCCTGCCGACCTTAGCACTGCCCAGCACACCCGCGTTGTTGCGCTCGTCAAGCTCGACCGATTCGACGATGCGCTCCGTGCCATTGCTGAAGGAGGCGCCGCCCTCGACAAGACCTGCGTTCGAGAAGGCATATGCGCTCTACAAGACCGGCGAGCTCGAGGCTGCCGAGCAGTTGCTGGAGAGCACCGGAATCGACACCCGCGGTATGAAGCACCTCGCCGCCCAGGTCGCCTACCGTGCCGAGAAGTTTGATAGAGCTGCCGAGCTATATCAGGAGATGGCCGAGAACCATGAGGATGCTATGTACGGCGAGGAGAACGACTTACGAATCAACATCTTGGCGACCTACTCGCAACTTGAAATGCAGGGCAAGGGTTGGGCTGTGTCAGAGGAGCACAAGAAGCTCAGTAGGGATGAACTTGAGGTCTTCGAGACGGCATACAACGCTGCTTGCGGTAGCATAGCCCAGGGCGACTTCGCCAAGGCTGCTTTCCTGTTCAAGCGTGCCCGGGATTTGTGCGAGGCTTCAGATGATTTGAGCGAGGAGGACAAGAAGTCAGAGCTAGCACCCATCATCGTACAACAAGCCTACGTTGCTACGAAGCTGGGTAATCTGGAAGAGGCTGCGAGGCTCCACGAGGAAGTTGTCCTCTCTGAGTAAGTGCTGTTTGGGAGCTCTGGCAGCATGGACATCACTGACTTTGGATCTTCCAGTATCTCGGACGCATCAACCAAGGCAATTGCCCAAAGCAATGCACTTATCCTCAAGTCTGAGAGCAACCCATACATGGCCCAAAGACTCGCCGACACCCTCTTAGTGGTAACCGGAAACGACCGTTTGTTCGAGGAGCAGGCCACCATTTTCCGCCGCAACAAGTACGTCATCGAGCTTCAAGCGCAGAAGTTTGCGGGCGTCAAGAGCAAGACCGCCAAGATCTTGTCCAACGAGGCCGAGCCGACCATCTCGTCTAGCAAGTGCGATCTAGGCGCCCTCAACGCTGCAGCTGCTTCCGAGCTCCAAACCGGCAAGGAAGCTCTCCGCCGGATCCTCCCTCTGCTAGAGACCCGGCCCACCGACGTCGGCCTCCTCCTGACCGTCGTCCAACTCTACATCCAACTCCAAAACCCTGCTCAGGCGCTCAACGTCCTCGAAGCCTTCTTCAAGCGCCTCGAGACCGCAACAACATCCGACAACAAGGTCGACGTGCGCTTTGCCCCCGGCCTCGTCGCCCTCGCTGTTGCGCTCTACCGCCTACAAGGCCGCCACTCCGCCGTCCGGTCCGAACTCGCCAAGGCCGCCGCGCACTGGCAATCCAAGCAAAAAGCCGCCAGCAGCGGCGACTCACTTCTGCGCGAAGCCGGCATCGAGCTTCTCCGCTCCACGCACCCCTCGGACCTGGCTGCAGCAGGCGAGGCCTTCACACACCTAGTAGCCGCGCAGCCCGACGACCGCACCGCGACGGCCGGACTGATCGCCAGCTTTGCCACCAGCGACTTCGCCAAGGTCGAGCCCTACCTTGGCACCTTGTCCCCCGTCGAGAAGCTCACAGCAGGCGTGGACGTCTCTGCCCTTCTCGACGCCGGAGTGGCCGCCCTCCCCGTCGTTGCCCCCCAACAATCCCAACAAGGCAAGAAGCGCGCCCGCGAGGACGACGACCAGACTACTGGCGAGCAGCAGCAACAAAAACAACAACAACAACAGGCCGCGAAAAAACAGCGCAGAAAGAGGAAACTGCCCAAGAACTACGACCCCGCCAAGCAGCCCGACCCGGAAAGGTGGCTGCCGCTGCGCGACCGCAGCAGCTACAGGCCCAAGGGCCGCAAGGGCAAGAAGCGGGCGCAGGAGGCGACGCAGGGCGGGTATGTCAAGGGCGACGAGGAGACGCTGGAGCTCGCTGGCGGTGCTGGGTCGGTTAAGGTGGAGAAGGCGAACCCGGCTGGTAGTGGTGGAGGAGGAGGTGGTGGCGGAGCGAAGAAGAAGAAGAAGGGGAAGAAATGAATGGATGACTTTAGTGAATGGGTAGTGTGATGGGGTTGTGACCAGGGGAATGAAAAGAGGATGTGTTGGATTTCGATGATGTTTACATTAAGACAAACCAAGATTAGAGTACATAATACAAATACAGATTTGATGATGATGATTGTCGAGTTTGAAGTTATGTCCGCCTGATGTTTAATATCTTTCTAGTAGTACAAGATTTGGTTTGCCGAGCGTAACATTTTTATAAATTAGGGAAAAAATGCTAAGAAAAAAACCTCAGCCATTAAGCAACTTCGAAGCTGTAGGTAGTTGTCGTAGGATATGATTTTATTCGTGACCAAACGGCAATTATCATTTTGCCCCTTAACATACGCAAATAAACTACTTAAAAATTAAAGAGAGAAAAAAATGTTAGGTCCGCAATGGAACGGTTATTGCCCGGTTGGTAAATGGACGGGCCGGCCCGAAACGCTCGTGGCACGAGATAGAGATAACTTTGAAGCGGACAGACATGGAACCTTTGTAGTCAAGTGTATTGAATAGTGTAATGTAATGTACATGCTCTGAGGCTACAAAAACAAAGAAAAAGAGAGATCATGCCAACAAAGGAAGGAATTTAGCTTCATAGGACAGAAAAGGGGCTGCTGTGGTTCTCTGGACAACACGTCGTAAGGACAAGAAAAGACAAGTATTTGTCTGAGGAAGACGAGTGATAATATACAGTTTTGTTTGGGTTGGAAAACATTCTTTTTGATAAATGATATATTAATAAGATATACTCGAATCATGTATGTATGGTTGTCGCACGCATCATAATAACCGATCGAGCGAATGTGGTTCTGAAACAGATGGGTGTTTTTTTTACACAGCAACGACGGTAACAGCAACCCAGACAACTGCCACATCCATCATGACAATAAGAGAATCAAGCATTGATAGCTTTTTGTAGTGGTGGGCTCGCAACCAACTCCTCTCCTTCCTGTAGCACGTCCACCGCCGACGATGACGAAGGACGGGTGGCTTCATCGTTGCTGACATCCTTTTCTTCCTCACTATCCCTCCGCGACGGAGAAACGTCTCTTGTAGCTGCAGGAGCAGACTGCGGGGTGAAAAAGACCGTGTCGCGGTTCTCACCACGGTTGCTGGGCGGCGGCGTCACGTTGAGAACCTCACGTCGCCCCAGGGGGCCGCCGTTCTCCTCGCTTGGCTCCGACTCGCCCTCGATGGGAGGAAGAGGCGTCCGTCGGCCGTCTGAGAAACTGACAGCCGCATCGCTCTCTTCGTCAGAAGGAATGGCCAGGTTCGCAGACGATGAAGGAACGCTCCTCGTCGTCGCATGCTGAGAAGCAGAGTACTTCCTGTGCAAATCTCTGAAGCTCTTAGCGGTCGCAGTGCTGGCGCTGGCAGCAGAGCCGCGGTGCTCACGACGGGCGTGAGACGCCGACCTGGCTGTCAGGATGGATCGAAAGTCGGACCCCTCCGCGACGGTCTGATCACGGCTGCCGCCGTTCTCCGAGCCAAAGCGCTCAGTGCTTTCAGCGATCGACGCGTCATCACGCTGCTTCCAGTGACGGATGCGCTCCTCCGGGGACATGTTCTGCAACTGGAGCTCCGTGCCAAAGTTGATGACCGAAGCTTTCTTGCCATGTACAACAAAAGACCCAGTACTGCGAACGAGAACATCAGGACCCTCCTGGCCGGCCTCATCTGACACAACGCTAGCGCTGGCAGAATCCCTACCCTTCCGGCTGCGGGCGTGGGAGATATGGCCAGCGCCCTCGCGAAGAGTGCGCTGAAAGCTGCGGCGGATTCTGTGCTTCTCCTTTTCAGACTGAGCATTACCGTCCGTATCCGTGGCTAAGCTCGGAGGCCTCTGCTCCGAACCACGACGAGCAGACTCGAGCAGACCGGCTTGCGCCAGGAGGTCACGCTCTTCCGCATCGATATCGTCCTGATCGAACTTGCTTTCCGAGTTAGAGCCCGAGCTCGTCAACCCCCTGGATGGAGTTGCTGCCAAGGAGCGGCTAGAAGATACAGCACTCGACACCGACTTCTTGCGGGGGTCAGTATTCTCTACCTCCTTTTGCTGGAACGTTGGGCCAGTAGCGCTGGTTGGTGGTGTTTGGAAGACGTCAGTTTGGGGAGAGTCTTCGTCTGGCTTCCTAACGACAGTAGGTACTCTGCCCATCAAGGACTGGACAGGAGACTGAGGGCTCTGCGGGTACGCAGAGGTGCGACTGTTTCTCGTGTCCTCTCTAGTAAGAGGCTCCTTGCTGGGTGTCAAAGCGCCAATGGCAGTCTCAGCCTGCATGCCCAACATCTCACGTTCTTCTTCGAGATCCATCAAGAGAATGTCTCGATGACACTTGAGCTTCCAGATCTCCATCCTAGTCCACTTCAGCTGCGCTGCCATCCGCGCTGCGGATAGCAACATCTGCTCACGCGTCTTGGGTTGGATCGGTGCCAGAATTTGGAGATGTCTTGAGTTCCGAAGCTGCATTTCCAGCGTCTTCTCTGTCTGCAACAACTTCTCGTTGGCATCGGCAATCTTCTGCAGCATTATCGCCCTGCGAGCGGCCAATATGTCTTGCGCCATCTTGTGGTCAATCTTGCTTCGTGATACCGAGACTTCTCCTGTTGGCGTCTGGATTCGCTGTGAGCCCGTATCGAGCCTCCTCATGGCTCTGCGTCCTTGCCCGTCGAGATTAGCTCCAACTACACCCCGCATCCGCACTCCAGATGTCCTGAATGCAGCGGCGTAGTTGAGCTTGGCCAGCCAGTCATTCATCTCCTCATCATCCTCGGCAAGGAGAACCTCCTCAAACCCACCGTGCCTGACATAAACAAAGGCGTGCTTGTGCTTTTTATAGCTAGCGTCCATGAGTGCCACGGCACCATCTGTCGACATCAGAGCATCGGGCTTGAACTCTTCCAGGGGCGGTTTGAAAATGCACGGGTCACCGTCGTGGCCCTTTTTGACGTGGTCCTCGAACTGGTGCATAAGATGCTTGATCCAGGTAGTGTTGCGGAAGAAGTATAGCTGGGCTCCAGTAAGAATAGCACCCCACTCCTGCCATGGGGACCTGGTCTTCTTCTTCTTGGTGTCCTTGCGCCACAGTATACCGACCTTGGTGATCTTGATGTCAACGATGCCTGGGTGTGCGTCTTGCGGGTTGTTGGCTGTTTGATCAGACATGAATGCGTCTGGTCGTGACCGTGCTGACACTATCTGCAGTACGCCAGTCTTGAAAAAGGTCTTGTGGAGTTCCTTCATGTTGAGCGTCCTGGCCGTTCCCAAGTAGTTGTATGGATCCTCTAGATGCATCACTTCCCTCAGCGTAGGCCTTAGGATGTCCAACTTATTGTCAATGATTAGAGTGTAAGGATCTATCGGTTCCTTAGCAACCCGTTTTGCTGGATCGGGAGCGGCATGGGGGAATATCGACTTCTTTTTCGACTTATGAGCAATGATTCGCTCGCCATTGATATCCAGATCATCCTCGACATGGATGAACGGCGTATATGTGATATTGTCGTAGAAGACTTCTAGGATCTCATCAAACACGCCTTCGCCGCGCGTGTTCTTGAGGTAGTCCGCCTTCTGCATCTTGTGCTTGTTGTTCTTGTTGAATACATCGGTATGCAGGATCAACAATGAGAAAGCAATGAAGTATGCTTGATCTGCGGTTGCATAGATGCCAGGATTGCACTCATGATAACGGTTGGCAAACGCTTGTAGGGTACGGTCGATCTGTTGAGTCTCCTTGGGTAGTTCCGCCTCCATGAGAAGCTTACGGATAGCCATGTCCATCGGATCTTCGAAGAACTTGAAGCTGCGCATGTAGCTTCGGAGAACGGCCTGTGAGAACTGGTCTGTACCCTTGGAGACAATTGCAGCAATGACGCTCCGACTGACAACCTCCAATAATCGCTCGAGATATTTGCCCGGCGTATCATCTTCGCGACGTTCTGGTAGAATAATCGAGTCCCTTGGTAGTTGTATCGAGTTGTTCTTCGAGTTGCCCGACACTGGCGTTATGGGGGTCATGGCTCCTTGTTGGGTCAGCGTTGAGCTAGAGTTCTGACGTAATCGACTGAGACCAAGGAGATCCCCGAAGCTCTTCCTGCCCGTTGACATGGACGCCCTGGCGGTTGCTGGAGGAGCTAGGTAATCCTCCGTGGATTCTCTTGGCGAGTTTTTGCCTAGGGAGCTCAGAGTCGAGGACCTACCTCGCCTATGCAGCTGTGTCCGTGTAGGTGACGCGCGGCCGGAATTCCGTGAACTTGGTCGGAACAGAGCAGTTGCTGGTGAGCTCGATTTGGAGAATAGAATAGCAGAACCTGTCGGTGGCGTTGTAGCACCATGCTGAGTTGACGGCCGAGATGGGGTTGGTGTTAAATGGGTGCCAGAGCGTGACCTCACTAGCGCGTTTGACGAAGCTGCAGGACCCTGAGAGGAAATCGACATATCAGAGTCCTCTGCCAGGTTCTTCTTTTGGAGGTGTGCAATAGGGAACAGAGATTCGGGCTGCTTCGGTTTCCTGCGCGGGAGCCTAAAGAAGGTGGTCGTGGTGTGAACTGTATGGGTGGTCGTCGTCGTGGTTCCATATACCCTATCGCCTGAGCTCGCATCTGACCTCGAAGATTCGGATAATCGATTGATGGGAAGGGCCAACGTCGTCGTACTTTCATCGCCATAAGCTGGAGGAGCGTGATGTGATGACACCGGTCGCCTCGAGTCGTCAAAAGTGATTTGCTTCCCTCCCTGGTCCGCACCAGCTGTTCGCACATTCTTTCGACGCTCATAGGTATTATCTTCGCTTCTTTCATCAACCTGTTCCATCCTGGAGTGTTCGCCGGATTTGCGACCGAACCGGCTGGAGAACCCCATCCTCGAGGGTCGTCGTTTCGGTACTACGGGTTCGAGGGTAGGCGCGGTGGTGATGATCTCCGGAGCTACAATTGAAACACGGCATGAGTAACTGCTCTTTAGATACGAACAAATGACACATGAGGGGAAAGTCACATACGACGCGGAAGAGGGGGCGGCTTCTCTGAGGCAGCTTGGAGCTTCGCCTTTGCCGCTAGCTGAGAGTCGGACGCATTACGAAACCTCAACATGGAAAAACGCTTGGATTTCGGGGTCTCTGCGGGGACGGAGGGTGATAGGGAGTGGTCGACAGGGTCGTTGCCCGTAGGCGGGGGAGCATTACTTGACGTTGTTGCATCCAGATCGGCAGTGGGCATCACTGGGGTCACCGGGGTCACGGGCGAGACGGGAACGCTTGACAGGGGGACCTCTCCCTCCTCTGGCGTGGTTACGAGAACAGGAAGGTCGGTGGCGGAGCCGGGTCGAGGATGGGTTCCTTTGGCAGGCGGTACGGGAAGAGTGTCAAAGATGGTGTGTCGCCGCATATCAGACTCGCTGGCCGCGTTACCGCGGCGTCGCAGGAAGGGCATGGCTATAGGAATCTGCGTCCGTCGCAATCCATCGGGGACTGCATGCATGGAGGGCGGGCCCTGGGGGTATCGGTTGCGTTCAGTTGTTGTAGAATGAACAGCCCATCAACTCCAATTGCTGTCAATGATGGCCTATGATGGAGAGAAACAGTCCCGCTTAGCGACGGACCGAATGGCACCAAAGCGTGGTCGGAGACGAGCAACGGAAAACGACGGCGGCGGGCTGCGGACGGATTGGGGGTGTCGCTAAACGGTTATCGCGGAACGCGCTCGAGGGATGATGGAAGGCCGTGGCGAAAATGAAGGGCGCAACTGGGGAATACAGTAGTGTAGAAAGGTCGAGCGAGGTATTTCGAATTGAGGTCGCAGGCTGTTCGTCGGGGTCTGGATTGCTGACTGACGACTGGACGTGGCAGGATGTCGGGGGGAATGGTTAAAGAACGAGCAGTATTACCAAGAGTCTGGGCGGAACTTGGGACGTGGTGGAAGCGTCAGCGAATGTAATCAATGATCCCTTTTTTTGGTAGTGTAGTAGTGAGCGGGAAGTGAGAGACACGAATGGGATGAATGGGATGACGGGGAGGGCGGTCGAATGTCGGTTCGGTTGTCCAGGCCGGGGGCCACACCAGGCCACCTTTTGTCGACTAAGCTAGCACAGGGCTTCGGTTGCTCACTTAGGTCTTATTCGTCTAGCCTAGACAGGTAAGATATGGTAATTGAGATACGTTGTCGTTGAGCAGGATTCTGTAGCGATTTTCGTTTTCCATGCACTTCGTTCTCGGTGCGTTGAGGGAAAGGCAGGTGTAAGCCGGAGGAGAGGGAGACATGCGTACCAAAGAAGGAGGTCGGTAGTAGGTACGTAGCAATCTGAACAGGTATGATGGTTGTTGACTTGTTGCTGTAGGTAGCTAGGTAGTAGCAGGTACACAAGTGACGGGTATGTTGTAGGAAGAAAGAACTTGGAAAGATTGGCGTTTGTAGGTAAGGTCCAGGGTATGGAAAAGGTAACAAGGTAAGGTAAGGTACGGATGTGTAGAAGTCGTGTCAGACTGGTCAGATTTGTTTTCTGTTTGGGGAAAAAAAAAGGGGGAGACGGGGCGGGAAATCCAAAAAATAAAAAAAATAAAAAAAAAAATTAAAAAAAAATTAAAAAATTGGCCCGGCTGATGTGATAAAAGTTCAAGACGATGGAAAGGACGGGAAGCATTCAATGGAAGCAGGCTGGAATCCACGGAAGCATGCAAGTTCCGCTGTCGTTCTTCGGTTCCAAAACTGAAATTCAACATCCCGTCTCTCTCTCTGTTCGTTTTCTGGCAACTCCTCGTTTCCCAGCCGTAACCAGGGCCCCAGGGCAGGTGGATCTCGATAAAGTGGCCGTGGTGGAGTCTCCTTCCCAGCTGAAGGAAGGCCTCTCCAAAAACCCCACCACGCCCAGCTTTCCACTTTCTGAGACTGACCCGCGGGGGCCAATGAGTGGGCCCAAAAATCACGAAATCCAATTCCAGATTGCTTCCTTTTTCTTTTTTCTCCATCAACCACTACTCATTTCAGTCAACACAGAAACATCCGGTTTTGGGCATTAAGCGGTAATTAGATTCTTGCTGTCTTCCAACTTGGCGAGCAGAGAAAAACACCTCGAAGAATGATCAGGATGGATGATGCGCACTATGTATCAGCCAGCCAGCTGGGTACTTAACTAACCAAGACGTCGCGGATGTTGATGTCGCATTCCACGTACCACGAATCCCAAGATTGACCAGAATTTAATATCACGGAACAGTAATGTAAGGTAACAACCAAGAGCTAATTTCAATCGTTATCACCCAAATCAAACTCGGTGCTCCAGTGACTCGGGATTGCGCTGGGCAGTGAGAGTGAAATGAGGGGGTTTCATCCGCTCATTGGGCCTTTTCCGGCCTAACCTCTCCTCTCTAACCTCCCACGTCCTCCTCCACTTTGGACGCTGCCCATGCCACACACCGGGCCCGCTAACGAGGGCCCCACGCCGTTCGATCAGGTTGCAGAGCCAAGAATAAATGTCTGCAAATTAGCTTCTCGGCCACGAGGCTTTCCGCTTCGATCTAAACCCATTTGATACCGAATGTGCTCCAGATACAAAAGGGGACGGGTGGCCGAGGATGAATGCGTGCTCTCTCCCATTGTTCACAATGGAGCCCAGACAACGCCTCATCGGCCGTTCAGCTAGCCAGCCGGCTTCAAGCCACACAAATGTTATGTTAATGTTCACACTCCAGGAACTGACTAAGTGATAAGTATGTATAAAGTGTATATAACTGTCGTTTTGGAAAACCATCTGTAGCTAAGGTATAGAACGCCTGATTATGCCCCCATTCGGAATGTGTAACACTACATCAAACTACGTTATCGTCCGATATGCTCACTTAAGATCTACCCTGCCCTTATCATGCGAGGTGCGGTCATTGGCCTTCGAGATGCTCTCGATCCCGTTGTTTCCAAGCAAAAAGTCTCCAAAATACTTCAGAGCGTTCAACATCTCCTCTCCCGTAGGGATGATATGTGATCTAGGAAGCAAAAACCCATAGCTGCCGGTATCACGGAGCTTGACCTGGTAACTATAACGGGAGTGAAGTTCATCTGTTGTTGCATGTCAGCATATGCCATCCCGTACACTCCAAGCCGTTGTGAAGAGAGGCGATGGGATGAAAACTTACGATAGAACCAATCAATGGCTGAGCCACCAGTAGCCTCGCTACCGGTGTCTTTGCCGGCAACAGTGCCCTCGCATGCGGAACTGACAGTGTAGAAATTCCCACTGGAGAGGCGGATGGCCTTGGCCAGTCCAACTCCCAGCTCCTCAAGATTCTCGCGGTTCGGCGGGTCCTCATCGCAAGTGAAGGTGTAGGGGAAGAGGATCTGCTGCGAGTACGAGTGCAAGTCCAAGTAGCCGATAAACTTGACACCGTTCTCGGTCTGATTCCTTCCCCAGTCGGCCAGGCGGGTAGCCTCAACTGCCTGGAACGGCTCGTCGCCGCCATAGCTCTCTGAGCATGGGTCGACTTGAGATTTGGTCTGATCCCACACAAAGCCGAAAGCCTGGTCGAGATCAAAGCCACGGCACCAGGACACCTTGGTTTGCTGTCTTGATTTGCGCCACAGCCGATCCGTCTTCCACGTGTAATCATAACCGTCTGGGTTGAGCACGGGAATGAAGACGATGTCAAAGTGCTTGAGGAGCTTCGTGACCATCGACTCCTTTCCGTACGCCGTGATGATTGACCACAAGAGGTAGGTCACCGTGCTTGTTGAAATCCATTCACGGCCGTGGAGCCCACCGGTGACGAGAATCGTCTTACGAGTCCCATTGTTGGCGTTCTCGTCGCTGCGATCCCCAATGCGGAAAGAGTGGATAGGCCTTCCCTCGAATGAGTCTCCAATAATTCCCATTTTGGCGATTGAGGGGAACATGCTCTCCATGAGAGCCATCCAGCTTGTAATAACCTATTGCATGTCAGTCCAAGGTGTCACGGAGAGTCTTCTCCCGCAGCAGTTCACTGTTTTAGGTTTCCACGGAAAAATTGAACCAAGAATTGGAGGACTGACCGATAAGGGCTGGTAGTCGTGAAAGAAAATATTTCCCTTCAGATAAGCAGCATCCAGCTTTCCAGCCGCATCTTCAAGTTCTCCTGTCACATCTTTGTGGATATGTCGCCCAAACGGCCCCCTCAAGATCAGGAATTAGAACACTCCATTGTGTCTCCAATGGTACCGGGATACGGGTGAGCAGTAGACGAAGTTGATCCTTCTGTAGTCGGATATCCACGAACTGTGGCGTAGAAGCCCAAACGTCCATGCGATTTTCTTTGGCGGCCTGGCCTAAGAGAGTCTGGTCCCTTGGGTTCGTAACATTGAAGCGTACCACAACGTCATCTCGATATCGGGACAGCGGTACAGATACGCTGGGTGAGGTGGAGTCGCTATGTTTAGTCGATGGGTGCCCAAATATGATTTCAGAAACGCTTTCACGTAGCCATGTTAACCCAGGAAAACCACTGCCGCGCGCATCTCGGTAAGTGTTGTCGGTGTTCGCATTGTCGATGAGTCCAACAGGTTGCCCAGCGTGCCGAAAAGCGGCCGCACTGACGGTCGAAGGGGAAAGCGCAAAACCGATAACCAAAGGCAAGGCGGACAGACTCTCCGGAGACAGTCGCATTTTGCCGTTAAGTGAAAGAGAAAGGCAGCATATGAGGTTGGATGAGAGAAGAATACTTTTTGGTGTAAGAAACGAAGTTCCAGCGCCACAGCCGGTTTCACTGGCGTCCCGTCCGTTTTACGTACAGGGCATTGACGCTTTTGGGGCAAATGTTTGGATGTCGTTGGGGCATGGGCAGGCACTTCCAGGGCAGGTGTCCACAGACCTGCCGGGCGGGCGGGTTTGCAGACGGTCCACACCTGGCAGGGCTGACTCGCCAGCTGTCGTTAGGGGATCCATGAGTCGTCCGATTGAGGTCGAAGAAACCAAAGTCGGAATGAACTTCAGCTCAGATCTCTGTTAGCATGACCTCGCGATATGGCATTGAACCACCAAAGCACTTTAAGATGCGAGCCAGATAAACGGAAATGATTGAGCCATCCAGCCATCTGCATACTGACATCTATGTGTAACTGCCAGCCGTGTGACACTCCCAACTGGCTTCCAATCCCAAATTCAACATGCTCACCTTTTAGGCGCCTAACCAGCGGTGACACCGCTGGTTTACAGAAGTCGATTGGCTGATCGCCTCTACGATATTCTGTTTCTAAGCGCGGCTGCGAATGAGAATTCAAGGATTGCAATACTTGTACAGTAGAACTAGTGCTCCCCCCAGCCTGCGTTTTAAGCGTGCCTCAGAAGCCAAGGGTCTCTATTCACGGTTCCGCTTGGGTTGACTTTTGAATGCCCGACGTTGAAAACTTTGATGTTGAGTATCGAATACTTAACCTCGGGGTTGAGTCATTCAACGGGTTAACCACAGTTTATACTGATTCATCCAATTGTTACCGTTCGACTGCAAAGATGGCCTTCAGCGATAGCATCGCGGCCTTGCTGGAAACATACTCCAACTGCGCAACACTCCTAAAAGCCTACAAGCATGATGCCAACGGAGAAGATGGGAACGTCAAGGTGGACGCCCAGAATAAACATCTGCGCAAATCCTTGAAAGCCGATCGTGCAATGGTAGAGCGGGCCTATTCCATCAGATCAGCTGAGTTGGGCAGCCACTTGAAGAGGGGTGATGGTATGATAAAACATTCTCACATACATGGTGGCAGCATAGTTAGGTGACATGCAAAGGTCCTTGTGCTGATAGCTTCCTCTAGCTCGTTCGATATCTGCGGTAGACGGGATATTGAAGAAACTCAAGGCAGCAATTTCTAGTCTGCTCCGTGCCTCAAGCAGCAAGCAAACCCCGGCTCTGAATTACGACGCACTCGGGTCCCTATCTAATTCGTCAAGAATCGAGGCCATCAAGACCATTGACAACCTAGCCCGTCGTTTAGGAGGTTCTTCCCGCACAAGCAGGTCAACGGTGTCCATGTCGTCGAAGCATACGCGGGCCTCTTCACCCTCATCGAGAACTCGACGGCAATATCCACCTCTCTCCAAGTCGGCTTCTCTACCGAAAAGGCGTCACTCCGAGCCCAGTACCCGACTGCAAGCTCGGTTTCAAATACTAGCCGGCATCGGAGGAAACCACCACCGGCTGAGGAAGAAGCACGAGTGAGTAAACAAAAGTCAAGTCCCAAGGAAAACATCACGGCACCAGCAGAAGTCAGTAATCCGACCGCAAGCGCAGTCTCTTCCTTCAGTCGACCAAGGAAGAAACCACTTATGTCCGAGGAGGAAACAGGAACCGAGGGGAGACACAGGTCAAGTCCTAAGGGGGAGATACCAGCGAATATCAAGAATGCGGCCGCAAGCACAGTTTCCTCCTCTGGTCGACATAAGACTAAGAAACCACCACCACGCAACGATAACGAAACACGAAGGAGCAAAGAAAGGCTACCAAGTTCCAAGACCAAGGAAAGCACTGTGTCGGCCGAAATGGGCAATCCAACTGCAAGCTCGGTGTCTTCCTCCAATCGGCGCAAGACTAAGAAGTCGCCGCCAACCGAGGAGGAAGCAAGAGAAGCGAGCAAGGAACAGTCAACTCCTAAACAGCCTCAAAGAACGAAAGTATCACCCGTACCACCGCCGCCGCCGCCTCCTCCTCCTCCTCCACCACCACCACCAGCAGAACACGTGGTGCAAATCCGACCACATCCTCGAAACAGCCAGTTTGGAACGGCGGTGCGCAATCGGATGTCTTTCATGTCTTTTGCTTCCGGAAGCACAAAACTGGGCGAGATGTCTGACAGAAAATGGCTGGCTCAACACACCATACCCGAGGCCAACTCGGATGAGTACGACGTGCCCGTGCTCTATCCGCTGAAACCATACAGGCCTGAGGTCAAGGAAAAGAAGTTCTTGGGTCTCTTTGGTCGAAGAAGGCAACGGCATGATGATGATGAATGAATGGTCTGGGTCAGCTAGCCCTTGCTCTCTTTGATGTTCAGGTCGTGGCTCCCTGCCGTTGAGATGGCTGGACTGGCACGTGGAGTATCACGGTAGTTGCGGGACTCAAATGCCATACCGGAGGATACTTGGGAAGGAACTTTGTCCAAAAACGAAATTTCGTCAGGAAGGAGGTGAAATCTGGACAGCAGTGACATCGACACCTGATGATATGAAGAAGGTACATGGTCGTGATCGTTCGGGCTCATTTAAGAAATGAGCTGTCGAATTGAAAGAGCTGAGGGCTTTAGTTACCCGTGCTTTCCACTTTAAATACAGCGAGCTATGGTCGGGATCGAACAGATCAGAGCAAGGAAGGGGAAAGAGCGCCCACTAGAGGCACCAAGTCAGACTACGCAGATTAGTGGTAACTGCCTCTCATATTTTTCACACTTGAGGAAGTCACAGTCCTCTCTGAAGCTCTCGGCCCAGGAATCTTACATGCCCTGCTTTCCACTGAGTTTCTCACAGTAAACCGAAGAGCAGTCCGTGTGTCATGATGCGTGTATCACAAGCGCACGTTTGTGAACATGATCACAGAGATGAGGCCAGTTCTCTCTTCCATATCTACAGCGAGTGTCAACAATATGAGGATATGAATCTGAATGGCCATCGGCCTTGGCTTCCGCTGCCTGGCTCCAGCGCCCCTTCAACATACCACGAACCATCAATAGTCGCGGAAGTCAACACGCACATGTGAGGCACGTTCCTCCAACGAACTGACTGCTCTATCCACTCATCCTGTTTCCTGCCTACAACTGCCATCTCCGAGGGATGCTCTGCAATACAACGAGGGGAAATGGCTATCCATGTTGCTGGTTCGTGAAGCCAATCGGTCGGACACAATCGGCATACATAACCAGGGCGGATCCCCCACCTCTTCACGTTCATCTCTAGACTTCTCTCCAGACCAGAAATTCATTCCAGTTTGGTCCACCGTCACTAGCTATATCGCTTTTACCATTCTTTAAACTGCATTCGTACATTTTCTTGTTCAGTCTTCACCATGGTTGTCCTACGCACTCTTGCCGCTTTAGCGATGACTGCAGTGGCTTCGATGGCCTGCCCAAATCAGAGATTCTCGAGGTTCTCAATTCCAGGCCCTCTCGCCATGCAAATTGGGGACAAGGTGGTTCCTCAAGACAATGATGTGGTCCGTAAGTCATAACGAAAGCAACATCTGCTCTTGTCGATGAGGATATGGACAACTGACTTCCTACCCCAACAGTCACCACCCAAGCCCCAAAAATTGGCACGTTTGAGCGTCTGTCCGGCTCCTCCTACACCGCCATCACCGTTCAGCCCTACGGCATCCTCGTCGATAGTATAGACTCCAACCTCCTGTGGCTTCAAAGTGGCCTGAAGCCATCCGCTACTCCATCAAACTTCGAGACATCCCAAGGGCTCTTCCGGGTCTATGAGTTGCTCAATGGCGACAACAAGACAATCTTTCCATGGACTCCGTCAAATCTGCAGGGTCCAGAGCATGCCAGCGTTCTCACACTCCTCTTCGATACCAGCAACATCAGCCCACGGGATGAGCTCTATCTGCAGAACGCAGCACTGAACCCTTTGAGATTCAATTTTGTCAACACGATGGAACAAACCTCGCTTGCAGACAAAGTGGGTGCGGCCGCCCTCTTCCTTGGGACTGCTGATTCCACCAAGAAGCCTTCGTCTGCCGCAAAGACCACCTATGCGACACTACGCAAGGCTTTGAACCTATCTAAAGCCGCGCAGGCACCCTTGATTTATCGCAGAAGCTCCGAAGAACCCGACGCCAATGTGTCTCCAGTTGTCCATCTTGCTCGGGATCTTGCTCGGGACAGGACTGTGACTACAACTACGACTGCATCTCCGGCAGATTACTATCCCATGGTGCCTGCAAGCTCTGAAGAAACCGAAGCCACCGTGTCTCCAGTTGTTCATCTTGCTCGGGATCTTGCTCAGGATCATGCTCGGGACAAAGTTGGGAATACAACTGCGACTGCAACTGTGAATGTTACAACGACTGCAAGTGTGACTGTAACTACGACTGCAACTCCGGTAGACTACTATCCCACATCTGTGCTTGCGAGGTCTGAAGAACCCCACATCACCGTGTCTCCAGCTGTTCATCTTGCTGGGGACAAGAATGCGATTACAACTGCGACTACAACTGAGGCTGTCACTACGACTGCAATTTCGGTTGTAACTACGACTGCACCTCCGGGAGTCCTTTATCCCGCGATCATGATTTCGGATTCGCATTCCTTCGATTCCCACAATAGGATGACTGTGTTTGGTTTTGGTTTGGTGGCCGCCATGCTGTTCGCTCTTTGATTTGACTTGCGCGTTTGGAGAAGTTTTGGCTGAATGCGGGGAAGGAAGGAAGATGATTGTGATGTCGGCTGTACCTACCTTATAACCTATAATCGTAATAGAGATATACCATCCTCTCAAAGTGGCCCCTCGAGCTATCTGATACCTGTTCCCGCCTGCTAGCAATGATGCCCTCCCATGGAAGACTTCGGATGACATGACCCCGCCCCAGGTCGCCTGCGCCGTATAAGGTCCTTACCTAGCCCTAATACCACAACGAGCCCAATGGTCAAATGGCCGAGTGGTTTCTGTTGGTGAAAACCCGTGGGTGCGTGGCACCCATGGTACGTTTTCGTAGGTTGCAGCTGGAGCGTGGTGGTTCGGTCTACCAAGTTTCACTGGGCACTGAGATTTTTTGCCTTTTTTTTTTCCAACTTCTGGAATTACTTGATCCTATTCAAATGTGGTTTTTGATTTTTTCTCTCGACTTTTGAGGTTTATAAAGGTGATGTCTGCTGCAGGAGGGAAGGTGGGAGGAGGTGTGCTTTCCGCATCGCGGCCGTGTCACCGCGGTGGCAGATCACTTCACTAACCCGGACATATCTTTGCAAAAGAAAGTGAGTGATTCGCGGAAGGCATCTGGAAAACTCAGAGTGGTAGTATATATAGTTAGCCACGGAGTGCACCCATAGTTCGTCATCTCGTGTTCAGTATGCATTCCGTTACAAACCGATTTTTCTTTTTGCTCGATATAAAGCTGCACCAAGCTGCCTTGTAACTAACCCAGAAGATGATGATGGTAATTGTCATGGGGATGGTGATGGTGATGGTGATGGTGATGGTGATGGTGCAGGCTATTAAGCCGGACGGACGTAAGCAAGCCAGGTGAGCCAGGTAGATCTGTCTCGATTTCAACAAGACTACTCCAGCCAAGATTGGTCAGGTTGAACCGACTTGAAGCAAACTTGAGACTTACCAACTAACTTGCTTTGTGGGTTTTTGGTAAAATTTTGCCTCAAGGATAGGACGTGTCTTGAATTATTTCGAGGAACCGTTTTGCTTCAGTGCCGTTCTCAACAAGAGTATCACCCGTCTGCTCGGACTAGTCAAGTTAACTAGATATTCAAGTCTCGTGGGTAATCAAAGGGAAGATTTACTGCGGTCTATAGAGCTATGCCAGGTGTTATCCGGATTTCTAATTAGCTTGGTTTGGCTTTCGCGAGGCGCTGAATTAGTGAGTATCGACGACGACGGTGATGGCAACGAGGTCGATGCGGATGCGATGCTTCACGTTGTACGAGCCGCCGGTTTGGGATAATTTGTTAGTGTTTACGTTGTCTGATTGGATGCTCGGCTCGTGTTAGTGAAGTGGGTCTGCTGGATTCTTCGATGCATGCAGTTTATCCTCCCTGACTGTTGGTTCGACTGTTATCCTTTGGGGGCCATGATAAGTAAAGTGAGATGCCTTGCATTTGGTTGTCAGACAATTCTTGAGTTGCCAGATATTGAGCCCGTACCACGTGAACCAGTCCTGAGGTTTTCAAGTGTTGGGGAGCTATAGATACTCCCTTACTGGACGGTGGCTGAGACTGTCGGTTCATCCCCACCGCCCGTTTCCCGGTCGACGAAGGGATTTCTGGCGGAGTTGCAGTGGGTGGATTGTGGATTGCGGATTGATATGGACCCCTTTTTCGCCAATTGCGAAACGAATTGTTGAGATCGATGACGATATGCACAACACAACTGAGAATATTCGGTTACCAAAGGTGAAGATTTATGCAGGTGTTGTGGTGTTGTGAAAAGAAAAAGCGTCAGAAACGGAAAATTGTAAGAGCAGTGGCTTGATGTTTTGTTTTGTTGTGTGGTCAGATGTGGTGTTGGAGGTGGCCATTGGAAAACACCAAAAGTTGGAGAACAGTTGTGACAACGCACAGAACTGCGAAAGAGCGTCGGGAAATCCAATGTGAGGAAGAAGTGGGTGAGCGGGTGAAAGCGGCGGGCGTGTTGCGCAGTTGGAGGTGTGGTCAAGCGGGGGGCACCTCACTTTTGGGGGCAAGTATAAATAGGAGCTAGGTATCCCCCGAGTTCCCCAGATTTGCTCTGCAAAGTTCCTCTTGTTTTTACTTTGCAACCGAGACCCAGACAGGGGGCTATCCAGACTCCGGTTGTTCTGTGAAAGCTGACCGATTTCTGGCTGCTCGTTGGCCGCGTGTTTTGTGACTTTCCCGTTTCGTTGTATTTCGACAGTGGGGGTGAGAGACAGGCGGGATCCTCCGCCAAACACAGCTTCCTGCTTTCCTCCACTGCAAAAAGGTACGTACCTCTCTTAGCAGTTACACACGCCTGTGCACGTGCTCCGGCGCGTTAAGCTGGTCTGGCCATTAAACGAGCATCCGCCAAGGCGCCAGCGCACCCCACATCGCGTCAGTTCCACCAGACAACCTCAAGCTTCCCGCTCTGCCACTCAAAACAGTCTGAACTCTTGCCTTGCACTCCACGACATCCGACGGAATCTGGAACTTGTGGGCTGAGCCCTTTCTTTCATCTCAGGCAAAGAGTTTAGAGAGTCAAGAGCAACGAAGCCGAAAACCATCAATCCTTCTGGTGTAGTCCATGTTCATGCATGCTGACCCTGCATGAACGGTTAGGTTGGTGCCCTTAACGCCAGACGCCAGAACACGCACGCCAGGGCAACGCCAACCTCGCATTCCACGCAGGAAATCAATTAGATTTCATCGTGTCAGGGCTCCACCCATCTACGCGACAAGGCCGAGCCGAACGCGCTTCCATTTCGAGGTCGCCATTCCCACTTTGGCTCACTTCCACTTTACATCCATCTACCAACTAGATACTCTGCCATCCTCAATTTGGGCATGAAGCCAGCCCCTTCCATTAGGTCCACTTGACGTCAGGCTACCTCTAGGTGGTGACGGAACCCTCTGGCTCTCTTTCCGTTCACGACATCACGACCAGGTCCACCTTTCCCTCAACCACCACTACCCTCCACAACAACCGATAATACCAACTATCGCAACACAACACAACAACCCATAACAAAGCTCTGTCGCGACTTCTAGACCCATTGTTGTCGCTTCCCTCAGTCGCGTGCAGGGGCACCGCGGCGTGAAGGACGTCACAATGGCTACCCCAAACAACATGTGGTCTGCGCCCTCACCACACCCTCACCATCACCAGGCTGTCCCGCCGATGGATGGAGATGACTTGGCCATGCAGGTCAGGCCTATGGGCTGTGAGTGCATCTTGATGTCCTGTTTGCCAAACCATGCGCTCTAACCCAGCCCCATGTGATAGTGAAGGTGCTGTATACATTCGATCGAGACGGCCAGGTGTCGTGCTTGGCCCGATGGCCTCACATTCTCCAAATCCAAACACTACCCGTCGACGAAAGGACAACAATCGGCGTGGTGGACCTTCGAACATGCCTCCAGGCTATTGCGCAGTGCAGCCCCGAGATTGTAAACCAACAAGAGAACGATTACACTGTATATGCTGTCGACTATTCAGAGCCGGATACGCCCCTGGTCGGGCAAGGCATGTTGTCGTGGGGCCTGGAGTTCGCAAGCGATCACAACAGCCAACGGCATCAACAACAACAATTGGTGACGGGACGGGTAACTCGGAGTTTGTTGCCCGTGTTCAGCAATGGAAGCCGCGAGACCCTGGAGGTCAAGATGAAGCTCACAGCCGTTGCCAAGATGCAGCGACTCGGATTTTCTGGCATGGACAACACCCTTAGTAATATGCTCAGGTCCGACCCTATACAACCTACAGACATCACCACGTCCGAGTGGGCCTCGTTCATACAGTCCAATCCGGGCCTAGGGAGCTCGGCCAATATGGCTTCCATGCACTCGCCCGCCATGTCTACAGCTCCACTGAACGTCAATCTCAACGGCGATGGTCGCTACAACATGGATATCAGGAGTGATCCGCCTCCACCGCCCACTCGGCCCGCTAGCATACTGCCGAGTGGTTCACAGCCGCAAAATACCGGTCCCGTGGTCAACAATATGCAAAACATGCAGCCTCTCCAGCCTGTTCCTCCACGGCCAGCTCCTACTGGCGAGAGTGCCTCATCCCCGGCTCCAAGCCAGTCTGTCGAGATCCCCGCCAACCAGTCGGCGCGTCCCACCTCGAGACCTTCTAGTAGAGCGTCCCGTACTAGAGTTCCCACCGGAAGACCACGAGGCCGGCCACGCAAGAAGCCTCTTGAAGCAGGCAACACGTCAGGCGTCGAGGAAGCGACTGATGGTGATGATGGCCCGCAAAAGAAGAGAGCCAAAGTTATTAGTGCCGATTTTACTAGTACTGCGCCATTTGGTTCAGCACCAGAGTCGCTGAGAGTTGCAGCAAGTACATCTGGTTCTCTGCGCAACATGAGGCCCGTGGGAGCTGGTGGTAATCCGTCTCTAGGAAATCACGTTCAGGACGTGCCTAGAGCCCCCACCCCTGTTCCGGACGGGTCGATGTTGCAACGGCAACAGAGGAGGCTGATCTTCGAAAACAAAATGAAGTCTGACTTTGCGGGTGATGCAGAGAGCAGCATGTACCAGTCGCGCTTCGGCCAGCAAACCATGCAGAGGAGTATGAGCCACGATGCTCGGTCACCCACCGATTCTATTGGCCAGTCACCAGATCAAGGTTACGTGCCTGAAGACAGTCCCGCGGATATTGGATCATCTCCTCCGGTTCCCAGGACTAGTGCCTACATGCACTCGAGTCCTTATGTTTCAAGTCCAGTCCTCCCGCCAATGCCCGTTCCTATGCCGCAAGTCGACTCAGGCTTTATGAGCGGTGGATTCGACGACATCTTCGATGAGGATGAGCTACTGCAAGATGCCCCTCAAGATCATGGCCAGGAACTACCCGGTCAACCACAAGATCGAATGGTGGTGAGCCCTCCGGTACCGCAAGTTAGCAAACCTAATGCTCGAAAGGGTAACAGGGCCCATCGACAGGGAATTAACTTTCCCTTCCAGGAAGTCAACCCCGGCCCAAAA